TACAACCCAGCAATGGCACTACTAGGTATTTATGCCAAAGATACAGATGTAGTGAAAAGAAGGGGCACCTTCACCCCAGTGTTCATAGCAGCAATGTCCACGGTAGCCAAACTGTGGAAGGAGCCAAGATGTCCTTCAACAGGTGAATGGAGAAAGAAGATGTGGTTCATATATACAATGGAATATTACTCAGTCATCAGAAAGGATGAACACGTACCATATGCATCGACATGGGTGGAACTGGAGGGAATTATTCTAAGTGAAATAAGTCAGTCAGAGAGACAATTATCATATGGTTTCACCCATATGTGGAATATAAGGAATAGTGAAGAGAACCATAGGGGAAGGGAGAGTAAACTGAATGGGAAGAAATCAGAGAGGGAGACAAACCATGAGAGACTCTGGAGTCCAAGAAAAAAAACTGAGGGTTACAGAAGGGAGACGTCTGGGGAGATGGGGTATACAGGTGATGGGTATTAAGGAGGGTATGTGTTGTGACGAGCCCTGGGTGTTATACACAACTAATGAATCATTGAACACTACATCAAAAACTACTGATGTACTACATGTTGGCTAACTGAACATAAAAAAAGATAAATGAAAGAAAATAAATAAATAAATAAATAAATAAATGTACTTCTGCATTTGCTTTCAACAACAGGCCTATTTTAAAGAAATTAAGAGGTGAAAAAGTCTCTTTAGCCAGATCTGTACCCTTCCTGTTGGTTTTCACAAATTTCTCATGTTCTGACTTCCCTTCTGGTGTCACGCCCTTTCAACCAAAGATCTGCCTGTGGGATTTTTGTTCTTAGAGAAAATCCACTAGGGATGAATTCTCTTGGTTGGCCTTCCTATGAGAATATGGTAAATTTGCTCTCATTCCTGAAGAATATATTCTCTAGATGTAGGTTCCTGAGCTGACCCTTCTTTTATCACTAATGACACCAATGACCCTTGAACAACATGGGTTTGAGTCGCACAACTCCACTGATACATGGGGTTTGGTCATTAATATCAACAGTACTCTAAGTGTGTTTTCTCTTCCTTATGATTTTCTTCATAACATTTTCTTTTCTCTATCTTTATTGTAAGAACACAGTATATGAGACATATAACATACAAAATAGGTGTTAATTGACTGTCCATGTTATTGGTAAGGATTCAGGTCAACAGTAGGCTATTAGCAGTTATGTTTGGGGGGATATTAAAATTCCACCAAGTAATTTTGAAGATCTAACTGGCTTTATTAAAAGAAGTGTGAATTGTGCAGCGGCTATCTAGCAAGTAGAGGGCAGCTGCACTGCATTGTACAAAATGGAAGTTTTATATAGAAGGGGAGCAGGTGCAAGAAAGTTATTAACAAAAGAAAAGGGTTGTTCCAGACAAGGCCATGTTCTAGGGGGTAAAGCAGGGTGTCTTTTGATGCAGAGGAAAAATCATTCCTTGGGGACTGGAGAGGACCCTAGGGCAGCCTCCCTGGCATGGACTGGAAACTTCCTGGTGAACTGGTGAAGACTACGTTTTGGGGGGTGATTGAAACTATTGAGTGGATACTAAGCACCAGTTTGGGAACTCAGTCTAAGGGACACGATTTTGGCTGCGTGTGTGTGTGCTTGTGTTTCTTTTAATAGGAGTCAAATGTCATATGTGGATTTTCGACAGTGGGATGGGTAGGCACCCTTAACCCCTGTGTTGTTCAAGAGTGAACTCTGTCTTCTTACAGAGGCCTGGCATCTGCGGTTTCTGATTAAAAACAGAAAAAGTATAGTCATTTCATTTTTGTTCCATTAGCTACAACATTTCATTTTCTTCTGATTTCGTTTTTGTTCTCTTTGGGTCTCAGCACTGTATCATTATTTACCTGAACATGACTTTCCTTAAGTCTATCCTGTGCTGGGTTCCCTGGGTTTCGCAAATCTGTAATTTATGTCTTTCACCAAGTTTTCAGCATATATACACACACACATACACACACACACACACACACACTTTTTCCTACCTAGCATGCTAACCCTTTTCCTCAAGGACTATTGTATTATATTGTGCTGTGTTGTGTTGTACTCTGTTGTGCTGTGTTGTAGTGTATTGTATTTAGATGTGGCAGAAATTGCTGGCCTCACCCTCAGGCTGGAGCTAATAGGTGGAGCAGGCCATGGAGCCAAACCTGGAGCCTGGGAACTGGGTTGGGACACATGAAAGCCCATCACTGCTGTCCTAAGTCACAACGCTGTGGCTCAGACTGAAAACCCCTGGTACCAGTTGCCATGGTAACCCTCAAGGCTACAGCTGCTCCCCTGGCAGGAGATCACCTGGGGGATCTAATAAGCTCCACTGACTGCTGGTAATTCTGTCAGCACTGAGGAATCTCTGCCCCCTGATATCCCACAGTACCACCCCTTCACCAGGGCTTGAAAAGTCCCACTGGGGATGAGAAGAGGAGAAGACGTAAGTCGGTTCCTGCAGGACCAGAGGAGCCCACTCAAGGGGTTTCGGATGGTCCTGAATACAATCAGCAGTAGGAAAGTCACATTTATGGCACCCACTTCACCCACCTTCCCGGGAGCAGGCTCAGTGTTTTCCCAGCAATGGTGGAACTGCCCCTCTACCCTCCCATGACCCGCAAGAGGTTTGCTGGCTTCAGGCTCCAAGTCCTCCCCTCCCTATGCCTAACACTCTTCTCCTGGACGTCACAACTGAAGGTTCAGATGCCCAGCAAGTGTGCCAGCTTATCACCTTGCCTGTGTCTTTACATAGCCTCTCACATCTTATACCTTGTCCCTGGGACACAGTGAGCTTCAACCAGCTCTGAGCGCAGGAGCCTGGGGAGGGAAGAGAAGGTCTCCGCTCTGACCCACAAAAGAGCACAGACCATGTGGTGGAGGACTGTCCACCTGCTGAGATCCCCAGGCTCTGACCAAGAGCTTAGGAAAAGGTGATTTGCCTTTTGAAAGAGGGAAAAAAGACAGCTCAACAGTCTGAGATTTATGCACCATAGATCTCCAGGCAAAGTTTCTGCACCATAAGTTTTTTGTTGTTTTTGTTGTTGTTTTATTTTTCCTGAGGTTTCTGAAATGTTGAACAGAAAACTGGAAGAAAATACAAGGGACCTGGAAGCTACTTCGAAGGATAGTCAGTGTACATTCAAGTTATTTTTTAATGTTTAATTTTTTATTTAAATAAATGATTCATCAGTCTTATATAACACCCGGTGCTCATTACATCATGTGCCCTCCTTAATGTCCATCACCCAGTTACCCCATCCCTCACCCCTCACCCCTTCAGCAACCCTCAGTTTTGTTTCCTATCAGTGAGAGTCTCCTATAGTTTGTATACCTCTCGGATTTCATCTTGTTTTATTTTCTCCTCTCTTCGCCTATGATCCGCTGTTTTGTTTCTTATATTCCCCATATCAGTGAGATCAGATGATAATTGTCTTTCTATGATTGACATATTTTGCTTAGGATAACGCCCTCTAGTTCCATCCATGTCATTGCAAATGGAAAGACTTCATTTTTTTTCGATGTCTGAGTAATATTCCACTGTATATATGAACCACATCTTCTTTATCCACTCATCTGTCGGTGGACATCTGGGCTCTTACCATGGTTTGGATATTGTGGACATTGTTGTTATACACATTGGGGTGCAGGTGCTCCTTCTTTTCACTACATTCGTATTTTTGGGGTAAATCCATAGTAGTGCAATGGCTGGGTCGTAGGGCAGCTCTATTTTCAACTACAGTCAGAGTCCAGGTCCTTGAGCAAGTGAGGTATTTGTTCCACTTCCCCATCGGTGTGTGTCACCATAAGCAGCATTCTTGTGCCAGTAGAGTAATAATCAGCCTCATCTCAGGCTGCAGCCCCGAGATGAGCAGAGGCCTGCATTGGCCGAGGCAACTTTGGAGCCAGAGAAGCGACTGGGAACTCCGGGGCCCTGGTGTTTATGGGAGTCTGAGGAGTAGTACAGCAGATCTCGGGGAGGGCTCCCTGGCTGCTGCTGGATCCAGATGTTAGAGCCGCCAACACTGATGTCCCTGCTCAGGGTACAGGTGAGTCTGGCCGTTGTTCCCAGAGATGCAGAGAGGGAGGGCGGCCGGATCAGCACGGGCTGAGACAGGGACCTTGCAAACACAGACACTCATGCTTGGTGACCAGGGATCAAAGAAAAATTTTTCTGGGCTCTGACCCACTGAGGCTGACATAAGTGGAGACCTGGTCTCTGAGCATGTCCCTGCCTGGGTAGTGAGAGAGGACCACGAGGAAGACAGGAGACCAGGCCAGGGTGACACAGACCCTGATCCCCATAGTAGGCTGGGCTACCCCAGGCCTCCTTTTTTCCTCCACCCTCTGTCACAGGAGGGGCTCTCCATGCAAAAGGGGTCCACCCAGTGACTGCCCACGCCCTCCCTGAGCCCTGGTGCTGGAGCTCTGCTCACGCCACACACTGAGGAGCGTGAAGGTTAGCATCACCCCTGGGGAGAGCCCCGGGAGGAAGCACCTGCTGAACCGACACACAGGTCCCCGCTCAGGGGACTCTGCCAGGCCAGAGAGGACACAGCTGCTGAGTCCCCGTCAGAGAGCACAGGGCCCATTCCCCAAGCCTAGGCTTCTTTCCTTGACTCTTCCTCCTTGAACAGCTACTAGGGACCACAGGGAGGTCCCACAGCGCCCCCTGCAGGCTGCAGCACTCACCTCAAGGTGGCATAAAGCTTCAAGAGCCCAGCTGGTTTCTGCAGCTCACCTGGTTTTTGTCTGTATTCACACATCCATGGTCACATTAATAGTTCCGGTTTCCCCCAGTGTCTGAAAGCAGAGCATTCCAATGACACTTCTTCTAGCCAAATGGCCATAAAGAAAAGAAGCAGTTACCATCAATTTATATGGAAATAGTGTTCCCAGACTCAAGTTATAACCTCTCTTAGGCTTTACTTGAAACTCTAGGGCACACCTTGCTAATGGATGCACAAAATACATGGAGATAAATTGCACAAGCTCAAAGATTCAGTTCAAAGCTCTGGTGGCTGGGTGCTCAGAAGCTGAGGATGCTTTCCAGAAAACGAGGTTGGCGGTGCCATTCTGGGTGCTCAGGGTGCAGGCCGCCTCTCCACAGGCTGGCTGCAAAGCAAATGCTGAAAGCTAACTAGGGCACACCTGCCTCACACCTCTTACCCCATTCCACACCCTAAGGAAAGTGTTGTGGGCTGTGATGGTTAAATCATGTGTAGCTCATGTATGCCAGGAGAGCCAGGTGTTTGGTCGAACACAATCCTAGTGGTTTCTGTGAATATATATTTCAAATGAGATTAAGAATTAAATCAGTAGATGTTGATTAAAGCAAATTACCATCTGCAAGGTGGGTGGGCCTCATCTAATCAGTTGACGGCCTTGATGGAGAAAAGATTGACGTCACTCAGAAGGTGAGGGAATTCTGGGATCACACTACCTGCAGAACCAAACTACATCTACTCTTCATCCCCTGAGTCTGTGGCCTGCCGGCCCACACTAATGATTTTAGACTTCTACAATCATGGCTAACAATTCCTTAAAACAAGTCTCTCAGATGGATTGCTAGATAGACAGATTACATCTCTCTCTACATACACATGCACATATATGGATCTATTATATTCAGTGTACACGTAGCTACATACATATATACATACATTCGTACACACATCCTCATACACACCATTTTATCCTAATCTCAGTCTATTCTATGTTATTTCCATCCCTTGCAGAGTTCGGTTCTATACACATATCATGATCAATGGTGGGGCAAAGGAAGTCTGTGCTCTGGGTCCTACAAAGACCTTGAGAAGTCACCTCCACGAGGAAGCCAAATCTAAGAACACAAGATTTTGCACTGGGCTCAAGTGCCCACTATATAACCCGACTACCAGCACCCAATCTGCAGTAGGGCATATTCACACCCTTTCTAGGACCGACGCAGCTATGGAAGTACTCCATGATTTTGTAAGAGTCTTGGGATTTTATATCCAGGACGTACAGATGCGGTGGGTTCGATATCTGAGCCTTGGAAATGCAGTCAGGACCCAGGAATCACACGGTGCCCTCTTCCGTTCAGACTTTCTGGGGCTCCGTTCCCACTGAGCAGGTTGCCATTCACGCAGCTGTTCCCTGGGGTGCACTGGTCATCAGAAGACCATCCCCCCAGGGGCCTCCCGAGGGGACAGCACAGGGTCAGTGCCCGGTGATGCTGGCCCAGGCCCGGTGCAACCACACTGTGTGCGTCAGCCTCCAGATCAGTGTTTCCTCGCCCTGGTCTGAGCCTCTGCCCAGACTGACGCCGCCCTCTCTGCCTCGCCTTGATCAACCAAACAAAATACGTGTTCCCAGATTTCAGAGGCTTGTCCCACAACCCCCTTCCTCAGAAAGGTCAGGTCACATGCAACTAGGGAAGGACCATTCAGGATGATTGTTCATGTGTGTCTGTTCCCACCTTCTCTGTTTTCTTTGCTGAGACTTCCAAACTCACGTTTCACTGCAGTTGGATTTTCCCCAAAGACCTTGTGGTAAGTCTTTCAGTCAGTTTGGGAAGAGTCATTACTTTAGTGACGTTTGATATTTGAAGAAAAAAATAGGAATTTCTATTCATTGATTGGTTTAAAATCTTGTCTTGCAATATTTTGTAACTTTCAGTGCATGAAACATTGGATTTTTCTCAGATTTATCCTTAAATGGTTCATATTGATGATATTATAAATGTTCCTGTTTTTCTTTATAAACAAATGGAAGGTTCATTACCAGTCAATACAATACAACTCATTTCTTCATGTTGGTTTTATATCACAAACTCCAAGTTAAAGCCCTCAGACCAGAAGCACGTCTCGGTCACTCCTCCACCCCTGAGCTGGGCACACCTGAATCACCCTCAACAGGCCTCCAGTGTCTCCCTGAGAGATTTTATTCTCTGATCAAGCAATGTTGTTCGAAAATAACCTGAACTAGATTAAAATACAGTAGTGATCTGAAAGTTGAACTGACCGAAGGGATAAGGCATTGTCAAATCTACCGGTTCAAGGAAAACCAGGTGCTTGTCTGAGATCTGAAAACAGAAGTCACCCCCAGAGACAGACTCCATCCAAGTCTCCAGCAGGAGCAACCGCACCAAGCACGAGAGCGTAGGGAGGTTTTTTTGTTTGTTTTGTTTTGTTTTTTACTGTTTTGCATTCTTTTATTTTGGTGATGAAATAATCTATGGAGAGTGCTTGGTACACAGAGGAACTCAGAAATTATGAGCTCCCTTCTTACCTTCTTCCTTTTTTTAAAAATTTTTTATTGTTACATTAATCACCGGACATTACATCATTAGTTTTTGATGCAGTGGTCCATGATTCATTGTTTGTGCATAACACCCAGTGCTCCACGCAGAATGTGCCCTCTTTAATACCCATCACCAGGCTAACCCATCCCCCCACCCCCCTCCCCTCTAGAACCCTCATTGTTTGTCAGAGTCCATCGTCTCTCATGGTTCGTCTCCCCCTCTGATTTCGCCCCCTTCATTACCTCTGAAACAAATAATGCAATATATGTTAAGAAAAAAAGAAGAAGATAGCAGGAGGGGAAGAATGAAGGGGGGAAAGCGTAGGGAGGTTTTTGTCTCACGTCCTCATGGGTCCGCAGCGCTGTGTGAGAACTAGAACTGCGATCCCAAATACTGCAGTAATAGTCCGCCTCGGCCTCGGCCTGCAGCCCCGAGATGCGCAGAAGCCCTGCATTGGCCGAGGCGTCTTTGGAGCCCAAGGAGCAGCTGGGGACCCCGGAGCCCTGGTGCTTATCGGAGTCTGAGGAGTAGTACAGCAGATCCCGGGGAGGGCTCCCTGGCTGCCGCTGGATCCAGTCGATGTTAGGGCCGCCAACACCGATGTCCCTGCTCAGGGTGCAGGTGAGTCTGACCATCGTTCCCGGAGATGCAGAGACGGAGGGCGGCAGGGTCAGCACGGGCTGGGACAGGGAGCCTGCAAACACACACATTCCTAATGAGCTGGGGCTACTTGGCAGCTGATAAGGGGTTAGATCAGGGTGGGTGACAGCTTGGGGCACTTCCCTGCTCCTCCAAAGCTTGTCCCTACCTGTGCATTGAGAGAGGATCAGGAGCAGGAGAGGGGTCCAGTCCATGGTGGTCACAGTCCCAGAGGTCCTAGAGCTGAGGCTGGGCTGAGCCAGGCCTTTCTTACCCATTTACTGCCTAAGGGAGAGGAGACTGTCATGTAAATTTGCCCCCATCTTTATCTGGCTTTGTCCCTCTCTGAGCAGGACCCTGAGGAGGGTTTGTGGACAGAGACATTGAAGGGGCAACGATGCTCTGAGTTTGCACTGTGGGGAGAATTCGGGAGGAAGCAGCTGTTTGGTCAAACCCCAGGTGTGTACAGGGGACTCTCTTGCATCATTGGGGACACAGTGGCTGAGACCTGAGCACTGTCAGGGACCAGCAGCCTCTAGAATGACTTGGTGTCACCAGTGGCTGGCTGACTGGAACACCCCCAGTGACTCCAGGAGAGCCTGTGGCCCCTGCCGCTCACGTGCCCATCTGCAGGCACCTGGGAAGCTCCTGTGGACTCTGCATCTGTCCTTGTCACAGTCATCCCACAAGCAGGGCGGGGCATGCCTGTGTGGCAAGCAGCATGGTCAGGTTGAAGTTACTGATGTTAGTCCACTCCACGTGGAATCGGGAGGCTTGGATTTCACAGGAAACACTAATACGAAATAAATAAATTATCTGCTTGCTTGTTGATGTCTAGCGTCATAAAAGTTGTGTTTACGCTGTGCCCAGTTTCTTGTTGGTATGATGTGAGGAGCCCTGGCAGGTCTGCCTCATCACGGCCACTAGACAGGACATACTGTGCTCTTCAGAGTTCTTTCCCTGGGTTGTGCATCTCCCATCTGGATTCAGTCTCAGAATTTGACGTAATTTCAGCACAATTCTGGAGGTCAAAACCAGGTTCCTAATTGAACCCCTACCCCATAAAGGTAGTCTGCCACAACTGGGCTGGTTCTGTGGCCTGACGGGGGCAATCTGCTGGTACTCCGTGGGATTCGGGAGATTCCCACAGACAGTAAGCACCTGCAGGCCTTAGCGCAATAACCCCAAATTCCCCACTCTCAAGGACTACCCCAACTGTCACGTCATCCCAGAAACTTCCTGATGGCATAAAAGAGATGGCTGTGTCCTTTGTAACTGTAATTTGCAAGTTGTGATTTCTGATGTGTCGCCTGCATTGTCATCCTCAGCAGAGCAGTTATTCTAACCCCCAGAAAGTGATTTCTGGAGCAAATTTTTGGAAGACCTCTTTCAAGTTCAGGGGAAAATCTGACTCATTCCTCTGGCCCCTTGTCTCTGGAGCAAGGAGTATAGAGACTCCAAAGGACTGTTCCTTTCCTCTTGATCCCCACAGCTGAGGAACAGGTTAGGACTCCTTTCATAAGATGCCACCCTGTGTCATCCCCACCTGTGTCCCTCTGTCCAGGGGAAATGACTGTGGTGGAGAGAAGTCCCCTCCTGATGAGGGAGCTGTCACTGCCAGACTGCACAGGCCAGGGTCTCCACATGGTGACAGTCCCCATGAGATCTGTTGGCAGACCTCACAAGCAAAAGCTGCAGCTTGCATTTAGTCCCCAGAGAAACCCCTCAGTGAAGGTGCATGAGCCCTCCACTACCACAAAGATCCCCTGAACTGCACATGTGTGATGACAAGTGGTTCCAGCCATGATTATCTTGGCCTGCATGATTCACATGATGTCCACAATCATGAGAACAATCAAAGAGAGCTTTCACCAAAGTCCTGGGGCATTCCTGAGGTTGCAGAGCTTCTTGCTATGTGATATGATCCCATCAACACATGCTCAGGGGCACTACCAACTACCCAAGGTTTCCACAATGGGGGAGAGCGATTCTCTACCCTGGAGTGGTCAACATGTCCATTTATCAAACACCCACATTCAGGAGGAGCATTTTTCTTCACCACACACCGGCTGCAAATGCAAACCTCACAAGGTTCTGTGTTGTCCCCACCCATCAGCATTTACTGGGGCGATTTCAGGGATGGACTTGGCAAGGCACCCAGCTCTTCCTCCTCTCGTGAGCCCGGGGGAAGCAGAGGAGAGAAAGGGCGGGGCCAATGGGATGGATATGGGGCTGTCTCCAGAGATGCTTCATTTTAAATACCTGCACGGGTGAAAGGCCTGGCTGGGATGGGGCTTCAGGAGGAGGAGCCTCAAGTGCTCCCGGGAGGTGTACAGTTAAGACTGGAATCGGTGTTGATGAGACATAGAGATCTCTGGGGAGTGAGATCATTGTGGGAGGGACAGGGGGCGGTTTTGGCTGGCTCAGGTCAGGCCACCTGAGAGAGACTTTGGAGTCACCAACAGACTCCCTTTGTTAACTCTCGCTGTTACATGAAGGTAATGAAATCCCAGCCTTAGAGAGTGCCCAGGACATATCTGTCTGCAGAACATAAAGTGATGGGGTTTTATGCATCCAGAGATTAGGGTGAACCAAGGGCCATGGTGCTGCTAGGGGGTGGGAAAGAGGAACAGAGGAGGTGCTCCGAGGGACCATTTCCAACACCACATCAGCCATTTACCTGTGCAAAGAGAAGTGGAAAAGGGAGAGGCCCAGGCTGGGAGGGGTGTCCCCAGAGTCAGTTTCCTGCAACATTGGGGGGGGCCCAGGTTCCCAGTATCTCCGTGATCCTATCTCCATAACTTGGGGAATTGGAACTTCTTTTCTTCTTCTGTTTTGTCCCTAAACCCCGAGTATTCACAGCCTTGTCAGCATTGTGGCATGAGTCTCAGATCACCATGAGATGAAGAAGAAGCATGGCTCTTACAGAACCTGCTTCAGTGATGAGGGAGCTGGACGCTGGATGTCCAGTGTACACAGGGAGGTCACGCACACAGTCACATCTTACTTTAGAGAAGGATCTGTTGCTCAGCATCCTTGGAGCTACAGAGACCTGCTTCCTCTGGGCCTCAGGGAGGAAAAACAGTTCCCAGAAAGGGGGATTAAAAAAAAAAAAACAGTTCCCAGAGAAAGACTGGAATCAGCAGATGCAGGAAGAATGTGGCTCACTCTTAATGCTGGGCCCTGGGAGATGGGCATGGGCCATGTTGGACCCAGTGACCCACCACAAGCACTCAGTCCACCCACGTCTCTGAGTCAGGCCTAGACCCTGGGCTGGCATGGGTCGGGTCACCCACCTCCATCCGGTCCATAATCTCCCTGAAGTGGTACTTTGCCCTAAGACCTGATTTACTCCTATCGAGACAGTGAGATCTGTATAAGAAAATATTAGCAGTGGACCCAATGAACCCTGTAAAGTAAATGAGAGGACATTTGCACATACAAATGTCCTAGGAAGGGAAGCTGACTGAAGAGATGACAACAGATGTCACCTGGAGTAGCCTTGGTACCAGGCAGGGCAGGGGTAACGGCGGCATGCAGAGAGAGAGCACTGGGGAGGTTTTAGTCTCAGTTCCCCAAGGTTCTGGAGGACATTGTCCATATAAGAGCTGCCATGTCCAGTATTGCAGTAAGAGTCAACCTCATCCTCAGCCTGCAGCCCCGAGATGCACAGAAGCCCCGCATTGGCCGAGGCGTCTTTGGAGCCCGAGAAGCGGCTGGGGACCCCGGAGCCCTGGTGCTTATCGGAGTCTGAGGAGTAGTACAGCAGATCCCGGGGAGGGCCCCCTGGCTGCTGCTGGATCCAGTCGATGTTAGAGCCGCCAACACCAATGTCCCATGGGACACAGACACAGGTCCCCACAGTGGGCTGGGCTGCCGCAGGCCTCCTTTTCTCCTCTACCCTCTGTCACAGGAGGGGCTGTCCATGCAAACGGGGTCCACCCAGTGACCGCTCAGGCCCTCCCTGAGCCCTGGTGCTGGAGCTCAGCTCACAGACACACTGAGGAGGATGGGGTCGCTTCAGCCCTGGGGACAGCCCTGGGAGGAAGCACCTGCTGAGACCACACACAGATCCCTGCTCTGGGGACTCTGCCAGACCGGCGAAGGCACAGCGGCTGAGCCCCCAGCAGGGAACACAAGACCCAGGCTCCAGTCCCAGGCTTCACTGAGTGAAACTCCTCCCTGAGCCTCTGCGGGGAGTCAGCCACAGTCTGGTCCCACAGCACCCCCTGCTGGTCACAGGGCGCACACCTCACAAGGCCCAAAGCCCCTGCGCGTCACCAGGTCCCTGTCTGTATTTACACATCCACGTTCTGATTTCTAGTACAGATTTCTTCTGCAGTCTGACAGTTGAACATTCCTCCAAATCCTTTCTTATTTTAACATGGCATAATGTGAAGGAGTATTTGCAATCAATTTTTATGATTTTTTTTTTATTCCCAGACCTAAAAAATAACCTCTCTTTGGCTTTTCTGACACGTTAGGAAGCATATTTCTAGCCGATGCAGAAAGTAAATGGAGATAAAGCACAGATACTCACAGAGAGTTCAAACATCTGGCAGCTTGATGCTATGATGGTGAGTGAAGTTCTTTTTTTCTTTTTCGTTGCGGTCGGATAGCCACCATATAGTACATCAGAAGTTTTTCTTGTAGTGTTAAACGATTCATTAGTTGCGTATAACACCCAGTGCTCATCCCAACACGTGGCCTCCTTAATACCCATCACCCAGTCACCCCCTCCCCCCCCCCCCACTCCTCTCCCCTCTGTAAGGGAACATTTTCAGGGGAAAATTAACCATACCAACATTAAATTAGGAGATTTATCCAAAGATCACACACATAAAAAATAAAGAAGAGAAAGCATGTGCTTCATACTCTGAAGTAAGAATGACACTATCTGAAAACATTTGTGTGAACGTTATACCCTTTCCCTGTGCAGTTGCTAGGAAGCAGACAGAACGAGAAGGGTGGTTGTGGATGTGGTGATGGATTTGGAAACAACATACAATTTGCAGGGTAATAGGTGAAAGAGAAGCCACAAATTTGGAGTTCATCCCATTATTCAATAAAAAGGGGATTGAATGCTCATTTCTGAATTGTTAGTAAATTGTTTAATGAAATTTGCATGATCAATTTTTCCCTTTATACTCATCTCTGTTCAGAGACTTAAGTGACATCAGACATAAATATTCAAATTAAATTCAATGATATCTATTAAACAAAGTTATTCCTGAAAAAGTAGTTACTGTGTAACTATATGTATGAAATTTTGCGATGAAGAGGACCTAAAACTAAGGGGAAATGGAACAATTAAAAAGGATAATTGAAACATCTGAAGATGTATGTATCTGTTCTCATCCATCACTACAGAATGATAAAGCAAGTGAGAAGAAACAGAACAGTCATACATACCATCTATGGGTATTGCTCATAAGGAAGCTGCACGTATTGTGTGGTTCATCAAGGATGAGCAGGGACACCATGGTTTCCACAAGGATTCCTGACCACTAGAGGGCGCCCTGAGACAACCCCGCTGATTGTCCCAGTCACTCTCCTGGGTCTGCATTACTGAATTACCGTCCCTGAGGACTGTCTAGGGGGCAAGTAGGAGCCAGCGCTGAATGGGAGAAGTGGGAAGCTGGATGAGGGAGAACCAGGGCACCAGGAGCCCCTCCCAATGAGAAGGACAGACAGCAGCTGTCCAGATGTTCCATGGTGATGCTGCTTGACGCAGCCAAGCGCTGCCCTTGGGCTGTGCTTTCAGTCCCTGAAGGACATGCCCATGCACCCCTCCTGCCCTGGGCTAGGGTAGCAGTGAGTCCCAAGGCAATGTGTGCGGTGACCCCCCCTTCCTCCACCCCACTTTCTCATGGAACCAGAGCTGAGGGCTCAGGGGCTCTCTCGCTAACCGGGGCAGCTGACGTACTGTGCATATTACTTACCTCACATCTGCTGTCCCTGCGGGTTCATGCCCTCAAAATCTTTCCACTAGTGTCCTCATGGAACGCCTTTCTGTGGATTGAGATTGGTGAAGGGCAGAGGAATCCTGGCCATGCTGAAGCCCCCAGACTCTCCTTGCAGAGGACAAGTATTTGGAAATCTGACACTCCCATCAGCAGGTGTCACTGATCCTATGACCATTTGCCCTCATAGGCCAGGTATCTTCATACAAATCTGTCCCTGTGTTTGACTGTCCATCTATCCCCGCCTGGACTAGGCCAGGATGACAACTCATGATGATGGAGGATGAAATTTGATGCAGGGGTGTGAGTCAGTGCTGAGTACTCATGTGGTTTCTGGGGACCGAACATGCAGAAAGTCTCACTTCACTGAGGACACTGCTTGGTCAATTATGCAACACTCAGTAGAGTATTTTCCTAGTTCGCTTAGCCAGAGCCCTGTCCCTTCTGGAAAAGCTCAGCAGTGCCCCCTACTGAGTTCAGAGCCCCCCCTGACACCACCCAGCTCTCCTGGACCATCCTGATTTCAGATGGATTTTTCTGATGGTACTACCCAGGTGCATAGAATGAGTAGGTCTCCTACACCATGTTGGGACTGTGACATTAATTTTTTTTTTCCAGTTCACTAATGAACTCCAGAAAGCTAAGCACAGAATGTATTGCACAGTGATTATGTCACCAGATATTCAGAATTACCTGGCATTTGGATTTCTTCAGCCCTGTACTGGAGCCATCACCAATCCATGACCAGCTTGAACTGGTCCTTAAGATTGAGGTGGTATCTTCCCCAGAGTTCCCCCGTGTTCATAACCTGAATTGATTGTACATGTGTTCCTCTTATAGGGTGTCTCATTGTGCTGTTGTTCTTGTGGGTGTGAGGGTCTCCTGTTAGGTTACCCCAGCCCACACTGTACAGGACTTGACATTTGATGTCTGTATCCGTCACGAGACTATAACATTGTTGGGAAAAGTGTCTTCTGCTCAGTCATACCTCTCTTGGTTTCCATTTGCCCCCTAAACCTGGAAATTCCTTATTTTCTTTTGCTTCTCTGATATATTTAACATATTTTTAGTGGAGTTTCGTAATTGTTCTTAGTAAGACAATTGGTATAAAAAAATCATTGCTATAGTGGAACCTCCTCTGAATTAGAGGTCCTCCTTCCACTTCTGCACTGCAGGACCCTCGTGAGCTGTTACTCACCAGCACAGGGTCTGATCAAGTTTGTTGAGAGCTCCATGGACCATCACTTAGAAAAATAAGACTATCTAGAAATTTTCCTATAATAAAAGTTCATCTGATAATGGGATTTGGGTTCACAGGATCTAGACCTGCAATAACAGATTTATTTAACATCATCCCAACCAAAGAACCTGAGAGAGAAAGTATGTGAACTCTGGGATTAAACAGGGAGAAGTGAGCATGTCTGAGGGACCTGTCCTCAAAGGGGAGGGGTCGTCTCCTGCCCCAGGGCATTCCCATGATGCCCAGGGCACCATTGGAAGAGACAGAAACACAGACCCTCCAGTTTCACAGGCAGGAAATGATCAGCTAATCCTGGGACAGGACCATGGGACATGTAGGGAACTTGGTAGAGGGGACTTGGGTCTCTCAGGTCACAGTGCCATATTATTGCTTTCCTTACCATCCCCACCCCACAAGTGTGGGGCATACTTTTGCTTCTTGAGACAAAGTGAGTTTGTTTGGACTGGGACACAGTAAGAAAGGTTATTTTCTTTTTTTAAAAAAAGATTTTCTTTATTTAAAAGAGAGAAAGAGAGAGAGCATGATGGGGGGTGCAGAGGGAGAGGGAGAGGCAGACTCCCCACTGAGCAGAGAGCCTGATGCTGGGCTTGATCCCAGGGCTCCGGGATCATGACCTAAGCCTAAGGCAGATGTTTAACTGGCTGAGCCATCCAGGCGCCCTGAAAGTAAGTTATTTTCATGGAGCCCATAAGACAGACAGAGTCAAGTATGGGGAGCTCTCGGGGTTCTGAAGCACAAGCTACAGCGGAGAAGTAGAGCTGCTGTTGGTCACAGGCAGGGGTCAGAGCATCTAATGGGGGGCAGATGTTTTTCTTACATCCCTGTGGAAGGGTAGCTTTTGTTAGCAAAGGGGCTGTGCTCAGCTCTGTGATGCTGGGAGTCAGTCTCATCCTCAGGCTGCAGGCCGGGGGTGAACAAGGAGGTCATGAAGATAAACCAGGAGCAGGAATGTTGGCCTGGGATTCCTGAAGACCGATCACTGGTGTCCTAGGTCACAGACTCAGGGGCTCTGCCTGGGACACCTTGCTCCCAGCCATCATGATAACCTCTAAAGTGTCTGCTGAACTCCGTGTGACCAAGGTGACTCATCATTGGGACCCTACTGAGAGCTTCAGAGGAGGTGTTATTGCACATATTAGGGGGTTTTTGATACTTCACAACCCTGGCTGACACCCTGCGTGCGTAAAAGCCCCTACAGGGCAGAAAAGGAGAGGAGGACACATGTCACTTCCCATGGGCTCTGGAAACCCACCCATGGGAGCTCATGAGGGGCGAGCGGTATCACCTGTGGGGAAGTCACATATGGGACTCAGTGGTTTCCTAGGAATGCTCGATTCTCTCCCCTTCACCCACCCCAGCCCCTAAAATAGGTTTGCTGGCCTCCGGTAGCAAATGTCCCCCATGCCTAACCCCCGTCTCCTTGACATGACAGTGGAAGACACAGACAGCACCGCAGTGAGCCAGGCCAGCTCTGAGCCCCGACCTCCCCCAGGCCTGCATTTGCCATCTTCCTGCCTCATTTCAGGAGCACAGTATACCTCCGCCAGCCTCTCAGCTGGGACCGGGACGGAGGGTCTCTCTGGGGCTTCAGGAGCAGAAGCCATGTCTACAGGACTGTCCACCTGCTGGGATGGTGCCTCGCTCTGATCAAGAAAGCTAGCAGCCATTGCTCGTTTCTTTCACTGGGTATAAGTTCAGTTGTGCTGTGATTTTGTTTGTTTCTTATTTGCTTTGTTTGCTTCATTTTTGTTTAAGACTAAAGTTTCGTTGATGGGAACTTGACAGAGAAGGATTCTAGCTCCTGGCAGAGGCTCCCGGACAAGGTCCTGTGGGTGTCCCTACAGCTGCTCCCTCCACCCCCTCCTGGGTCCCACTCACAGCAGCCATAACTCAGAGCAGGTCAGGGATTTTTTCTACTTCCCCTTCGGCCTGTGTCACTGTGAGAAGCACCACTGTCTCCAACAAGACAGTGATAGTCAGCCTCAGCCTCAGCCTCAGCCTGCAGCCCCGAGAGGAGCAGAAGCCCTGCATTGGCCGAGGCATCTTTGGAGCCTGAGAAGTGGCTGGGAACCCCAGGTCCCAACTGTGTGCTTGAGTCTGAGGAGTAGTACAGCAGATCCCGGGGAGGGCTCCCTGGCTGCTGCTGGATCCAGTATGTTTGGTAGCTGCCAACACTGAAGCCACTGCTCAGGTGCAGCTGGGTCTGGCCGTTGTTCCCGGAGATGCCGAGAGGGAGGGTGGCTGGGTCAGCACGGGCTGGGACGGGGAGCCTGCAGACACACACACTCATGGGTGATGGGGCATTCCTCCTGGAGTTTCTCAGTCTTAGGGGCTGACAATATCTGGGAAGATCCCAAGAAGTCAGATGATGTCCCTATGAGCAGAGAGAGAGGAACAGCAAGAGAGGAGTTCAGGCCATGCTGACAGAGCCCTTGGTCCCCAGTGGAACTGGGCTGTCCCAGGCTTGTCTTATCCACCCTACTGTCCCCATGCAAATGAGGGTGCTCTTTATGCAAATTTGCACCCCCTTTCAGACCTGCTCAGACTCCACCTGATCAGTGAATCAGGATCCTGAGAGGGGGCCGAGTGCAAGGCCTGCTCTGAGTGGGACCCAGGAGGGGGTGGGGGGGGCAGCTGTGGGAAGCCCCATGCTGCGTCTGATTTAAAGAACATAGATCCATGTCTGTGATTTGAGACGCTTATAACAATGAGAGGGAAGTCAGGAAGAAATAAACACCCCTGTGGAAATGTCTACAAAACATAAATCATATAAAAGAGTGAGATTCTCCCCCGCCTTGGGACATTCTGGGAGCTCCTCTTCTGAGGGGACTTTCAAGCATGTCTCAGGAGAGGGGTGACCGTGTTCTCCATATGAGCTCATAGAAGAGAAAATCAAAACAGGGTGTGAAGATGCTCAAACCATGAAGGGACACCACAATTTCACAGAGTGACGAAACGATTGGTGACAGTGTGCACAGGGGAATAGAGGGTGGACACAGCAGGGCCGGCCTGAAGAGCCTACGTGGTCGGGGAAGAGCAACTGAGGCAGGGAAACAGGAGGCGGGGACGCAAGCGGCTGTGCTCCCAGGAGACACGCAGGCTGCGGAGCAGAAGGAACGCGGGGGGAGAAGGAGGAAGACTCTGTGGGAACTGGGGGTTTCTGCTCTGACTGCCCCGTCCGACGGCACTGCTGTCCACTGCAGCGGAGCATGAATAAGGAGATGCCTCTCTGTTCATAAAAGAGTTGAAGATCTGAGAAAGAAGTAGAAACCCTGATGTCCAAGCTCAGAAATGGTGGACCCTGACCTTGAGTGGCAGCAAGCAGGGACCGCGGCCTGCGGCTGGTGTCCGGGTGTGGTGAGCAGTCCCTGGTGCGGGTGTGGCCATGAGGGAGGGACAGGAGGCTGGGACAGAAACTCGGACACCGTCCCGTGTCCAGAACGGGTGGGAGGAGTCCTGCAGGCAGAGTCGCTCAGTCCAGGCTGGCTCCCATAGCAGAGCCTTCAGCGATCCTGCCGCGTGTGTGTTAGTGACGGCCTGCCTTCTGCTCAGGCTCCGAGGTGATGGGCGGGTGTCCGGTGAGGGGAGACCAGCCCCTCGCTGTCTTTCCCATGTAAATGTTCCAGGGAGGACTGAAGACAGTGAAGCTGTGTTGGATGGTGATGTTTGCAGGCCTTCCCACCGCAAGGGGAGGAGGAATCATGAAGGAGCGTGAGTGTGAACTTCCGAGGTCAGGCTGACGTGCCGTGGACAGCGGGCATCACGAAGAAGCGGGGACGGACAAAAACCCAAACATGTCACCCCACCGGCACATCCCCGGGACCTCCAGGCACAGGGAGGCGGAGCTGCAGGCTCTCTCTCATCCCCTTCAGCCCCCAGGGGGTGGAGCACTGCATTCTGGTCACTAGTCCCCACCCCCACTTGCTCTCCCTGGGGTCTGTCAGGGGGAGGGGGCTGGGAGGACCCACCTGAGCTCTGGGGGCCCCGGGTTGAAAGCGGGTGGACACCGGACTCAGACTCAGGTAGGGGCTGCTTTGCCAACCGCCCTCACCCCACGGACCCCAGGGACAGGCTCCCAGTGCCCCTGCTGCCCCAGCCCTGGTCCCCCCGGATGGAGATGAGGGGACAGGAGCCCAGAGCAGAGCTCCCCCCGCCTCCAGTGCTCTGGGGCCGCTGCCCACTCCCCGTGGAGGACAGACCGCACCCAGGCCACACTCAGCCTTCCTTAGGCTGCAGCTTCGTGGCCTCACTTGGCTCAGAATCCCCTGCTGTGGCTCATCCCCAGGGACTGTCTGTCTCCAGCTGTCTCCCCTGCTCCACGCTTCTCCACTAAGCCCGCGAGGCACCATATCAGCACTATCCCCGGGGCAGGGAGCAGAAGAACAAAGACAGCAGCGAACTTACCCCCATGGACTACAGTGTGGGTCCCTGGGAGACTGGTCTCTCTCTGTCTCTCTGTGCCTCTATCTCTGTCTCTGACCCCAGGTCCTTCCTCTGGCAGCTGAGTCTCTGTCCTCACTCCTGGTGGGGAAGGCACGGGCTGGCTCTTTCTTTCTCTATCCATGACCTCGGGCTGTTGATCCAAGTGGACTGTGTAATCTCTAGGTCTTGAAAGTAATAAACCTTTATTTTTCAAAGTTTCCTGAGTTGTTCCTGAAGTGTGTCTTGCAGTCATAATAAGAACCGCAAGGGCGAGTCTCAGCACAACATTCGTTATGGGGAGGCTGAGACCTGCACAAAACATGAACTTCCGCTCCTGAAGGGAGAACGCTGGCTCCCCCCGTCCGCTGATTATTGACTTCATTGTTCAATTCCAGGCACGACTCAGAAACATCACAATTACGGACCCCCTCATCTGCCGGGACACAGCTCTGTCAACTGGAGTAAGGGGCTCATGTGCAGTTTCCTTTTCCTTTTTCAAACCACCTGTTGAAACGGCCTCAGGTCCACACCGTGCTGCCCTCCCCCTTCAGTGCGGCAGGTTCATGCCTTTGTAGGGCAGCGCATGGGACGAGGTCACATGGGCCCTCCGTCGCGGACCCCAGACGCCTAGATGACTTTCTGTGCCCGCACTAGGATGCTGTCGCTGTGCTGAGAGTTTAGTGATCTGTGACAACACAGCCGCGCAGGGTGGCCGCCCTCACGGTGTCCTGTACGAGAGTGACACCAGCATAAATCCAGTCACTGTGCTTCACACATTCTCCCTCCTCCACCTCGTGTCAATCCCTGGCCTCTTTACCACCTGTCCGTTCCTGCCTCTCCCCAAATGTAATAGAGCTACAAGCCACAGAGAACGCAGGCTTTTAGATGCTCCTCGTTCCTCAGAAATGTGCATTTAAAATCCATGTATGTTTTTGGACGTGAGAGCTTATTTCCTTTAAATTTTGACTAATAGCCTACTCTTCGAGTATGCATCATAATGGAGGACATCTTTGTTACCTCAAGCCTTGGTCATTTTATGAGAAGCTGGTAAAGAATCGGTGTGCAGAGTTTTAATTGCTTTCACGTGTGATGATGAATAAAGTTTCCATAAACATCCATACGCGGGTTTTCCTCTAGAAGGCTTTGTTTTGTTTTTTTCTTTTTGGCTTTTCTAGTTCTGAGTTCAGCATTGTTTTATATATTCCACACAAACATCAAACACTCACCGGAACTGGCATCTGGTTAAGGCTAAGCCAGTAATGATGGCAGGTGACAAGGGAGCTGCCCTGTCCCTCAGCAGAGCAGGGAGGGACATGCTAGCTTCGTGACCCGAGAGAGCTTCGGTTACTGAAACATCAGACGATGATAAATGAATGCACACTAGCCTAGAAGGAAATTGTCCCAGCTCATGAGGACAAGACTTTCTATTTCCCTCGAGGCCCTTCGTGTACAAAAGGACTGCTCTGAGTGACTCGGAGGACAGAAAGGAGAGAAGGAGCCACCATTCCCAGGCGGTGCCCCAGGA